GAGAGAACCCACGCTGCACGGGGAGAACATGGAGACTCCACGCAGAAAGATCCCGGGTGTCCTCACCGGGACGCCAACCGGCAACCTTCTAGCTGCGAGGCGACGGTGTTTGGCCTATAGACCAAACGATTAAATGATTATTAGAGAAATTAATTGACAGTGGACCCTGGTTCTATTGTGGTAGCTCAGCAGAGAAGGTGTCGGCCTCCTGAGGAGGAGGATGGGGGTTCAAGTTCCAGCACCAAGACCTTTGACCCAGTACACTCCAGGTAGTGGCTGAACCCAGCTTATATTTTACTCTGTGCAATGACAAGAACGCTGAATCTCCTTTGTAACAAGTTTCTACAGAGATATACCGTGTTCTGGTTGTCACTTATTTCACACTTATTTCCATTATTAGAAATTAATTAAAGTGTCAAACACACCGTATAATCTCCTAAAGCCTGAGCTGATGCCCTGATGAGTTTATAAGTGGTGAGGACACATGAAGCTGGAACATCTGCACATTTATGGAGGTTTAGGTACAAAAAAGGATTTAAAATGAGCTATTATCAACATGTTCTGTCTGATGATTGCAGCTTAGAGCTGAATCAGCATGTTGATGACAGCTGATTAATTAAAACGTGTTTATAATCAGTTCATGTGTCCTCCAGCTGATTTCTCCTCCTTACAGGTGGACCAGAACCAACTAAACCGTCCCGTGATGTCCAGCAGAACCTGTGTAGTTTGAACGACACTGTGGGAAACACTTAACTAACTTCCAGAAAGTGCTGATACCACAAACTGGACCAGGAAGTTACTGGATCTGGATTTACAGGTAACATGTAGAGAAACTTCCTGTGGTTCCGTCAGCTTACCTCTCCCTCTCCCGCCTCAAGTTTCCTCAAGTCCTCTCGTAGTTCGGAGCTGTTGGGAGTTCAAAGCCACCGAGCAGAGAGAGAGCCCCGGGTCCGCCCCGGTCCGCCCCGCCGCCGCCGCTGCGTCCGCTAGCTCGATCCTGGCTAACCTCTCTGCTCCCCGGACAGCGGCTCCAGCTCCCACCGCGGTTTCTTCGACGAGGTGTTGACCCGCTGGGATAACTAAAGTGTATCCGGGAGGCCGAGCGCTGAACCAGGCCGCTGCCGCTCCGCTTCGGTGCTTCCTCCGCCGCCAGTTCCAGAAGCTCTGCGGGCTGCGGGACAACAGAACGCGGATCCAACCAGGAAGTGGCTCCGCTGCTCGGTGGGCGTGTTCGGCCCTCAGTGAGGTCTGTCAGGAGAACTCTGGCTCAGCGGTGCGCCTATCAGACATCGCGCAGGGCCCACGACCCGCCCTCATCCGGCTGGTTTCTTTTCATTTTGGTTTTATTCTAAGGTATGGAGCAGTGAGAGAGACAGATTACACAAATAATCAAAAAATAAATCAATAAAAGAATAATGAAATAGAAGTGAAAATAAAAAGAAGAATAAATAAAATAATAAAATAAATAATGTGGGAATATAAAGCAACATCAATCAGAAATGAATCCATGAAAGAAAAGGCTAATAAAAGTAGACAAATAAATAAAATAACCAAAAACAATAATAAGTTATTGTTTTTTTTTATTCTTTTTTTAAATTATTCTTTTTTTTATCTATTTTTAAAAATAATTTTTGATTATTTTTTTCATTTTTTTATGTATAATGTCACTTTAAAAGCAAAGGAAATATGCGCAGAAAAACGACATTCCTACTGTGCACATTTTCCTTTGCTTTTAAAGTGAAATTTAAAAAGTAAAACAAATTTAAAAACAAATATTGTCATTTTTTAAATTATTTTATTTATTTGTCTTTATATTTATTAGAGTCTATGATATTTTAAGTTCTTAACCCTAATATTTAAACTGATTAAGTAAAGTCATATTGAATATAATATTATAGGGTCTTAGCCTTAATATTTCCATTAATTGGGTTAATTTGTGATACATATAAGATTTTAACCTTAAATTTAAATCTAAACTACGACTATAGGGCCTTAACATTTCATTTACTTGCTTGAATTTACATCACACATAATATTGTAGGGTTTTAACTTTAATATTTCCGTTAATCAATTTAATTTATATCATATATTTTCAACTCAATTAGCCACAATTTCTGCTGTTTCGTAATGAAATAGTCTCGCCACAGGGTTCTTTAACTGCTCTGATCATCTCAGACGTTTTGGTCTATAATTCTAACCTGTTTCCTGTGTTGCTTTTCCAAATGACATAAATGACATCTCATAGAGTAGCTCACAGCAAGAAAAATGTCAATATCCATCTATCTTGTATCCATCAGCTGACGTAGCCTGTAGAGGATCCGTCTGACGCTGGATGAGAGGACGGGTCCAGCTTCATCACATCATCACAGGGACACAGTCTGTAATATGAACACGTTACGTAATGGAGAGCAGCAGCAGCGATGCACTGATTCGCCAGAGAGTTTTAAGCATTTAATAATGATATATTATCCTATACTCTTATATCTTATACTCTTTCTTTCCTTTAACATTTAACATTCAATCATATCTGATGAGGATCTTCAAATGTATTGTTTTTAGAATTAGGCTTGACACTTCTGTCTGCTCAGAATTGTGTTTCTCAGTTGTCTCACAGATTTGGTTTCCTGTTTTGTTTTCCTGAAATAAACACCAGTGTGGATAAATCTCCTACGATCTCATAGGCTCCTAATAACAGACAAAAGAGCCTTAAGTCCTGTAGACAAATACAACTGATAGTAAGACTGTAAACACTGTGATTCAAGTAAAAAAGTCATCATTTCAAAATAAACGTTGTTTGGGTCCAGACTGAAGTCACAACTTGGAAAATATAGAACTAATGAACATTTTAGGTTTCTGACTGTCACATGCTTCAGAAAAGCTGATGTTTAGTGTCTCTGACATACTGCGAACACATTAGCAGCACAAACGATGGCCTATTTTTGCAAATAAACCGCAGACTGATGTCGTGACATTTATTTATTTCCCATGTCTGTGTTTGTTTCTCTCTTAGTCAGCTCATCAAATTCAGTTTTACTCCCTCAAAAGTGCCAAATGTGCAGCCAGAACTGCCTGAAAGTCCAAAGTCAGGACAAAAGATAAAACACATCTACACAACGTTCAATGCACAACACCTGCATGCACTAGATAAAATCTACCATTAGTCAAAAATAACATCTTTAAAGTCTGAATATAAGAACTGTTAAAACTGACCCAGGGTCAGTAATGAAGCTGGAATCAGAAGGTATTTGTCACTTTGGTTTAGCTTTTATTTGGTTCCGATGTTAAAATGTCCATTCAGGTTTAGTTCTGATCTTACTGGTTTCAGGAAAGATTGTTTTAGAAAAGTTGTTTTTATCGGCATCGTTTTCAGCATCGCATCAGTGAAATATTTTTGCTTTTTGAAGCTCACAGTCTGTTTGATTGAGGATCATTTGAATCCTCAAACAGCCGGGATGGGATTTATTTATTTTATTTTTTAACAGAACTTTATTTACCAATGAATACAACAAACAACATCGACAATTTGACAGACATCTGCTCAAAATGATAAATGTAATTTTAATTCTATGTTAATGAAAAGACAAACAATTTATTAGAAAAAATACAGAAAAATAAATAAATAAATTGTATAGGGGACAAGAGAAGGAGCATTATTGTTCTTTCTGGAACAGTTCTTTAAATATTCTCACAGTTTTATTGCTTTTTTTGTACGCCGGGATGAGATTTTTTTAATCGTCGCCTGTTGATGACGTAGAAGGAAAGCGACAGAAACACACATGCTAAAAGTGCAACATGGCAACAGTACAAGTAAGCGAGGCTGAAAAAGTGTACATCTTACACGGCATAAGGGTGAGTTTTTAACAAATACTTTAGCCACAGACGGCTGTTTGTTTGAATTATTTCTGAAAATTTTAATAAAGAAATCTGCTTGTTAGCCGTAACGAAAGCTAGCTGCTAGCGTTAGCATTAGCCGGCTGTGTTGACATGTTGCTCCTGGTTGTCAGGATGACTTACGGGTGGATGGAAGAGGCTGTGAGGACTACAGACACATGGAGATAGAGACCGACGTGGTGTCCAACACAGACGGATCAGCCAAAGTCACGCTGGTAATGAAAACCAGCATCTGCAGCACGTTTGACTCTGAACAGGAAGATGCACTAAAACATCTGTGAACTTCAGTCACATCCTCCCAGCTGCACTCAGGCTTACCTGTCACTAATGCCTGAGCTCATCAATTGTCTCTTGAGTTCTTTTTTGTGTTTAGGGATCACAGGTTGACTTTCATCTTCTGTTTTGTCGCTCTTTCAGGGACACACAGCAGTTCTAGTCGGGATAAAGGCTGAGATTGGAAAACCGAGACCCACGGTGCCCAACGAAGGCTACCTGGAGTTCTTTGTCGATTGGTAGGTTTGATGCTCATTGGCAGGTGTAAACGAAGACACACAAGTTTCTAGCAGTGAGCAATACAGATAAAACTTTACTCACAGGGGAAACGTTACAGCAAGTAGATAAAAATGACATCGAGTAGACAAGAAAAGCAGACGTGAAGATGACAGTGAAGGTTTTATACATGTGTCACGTACAGATGTGATATGATAGATAGCTGTAGTAAACTTGTAGGACACACAGTGTGTAGCTACATAACATTATTGCACTTTAAAACTTATAAATATCTTAATTGTTATAAATTATGAATATAAATTATTGCAATTAATATTAACCGTGTGTTGCCGGTACGTTCTTTTATCATCGGTGCTGTACCTTAACTCCCGGGTTAAACACTCATTTTGAAGCTGTCCAACCGTCCTAAATGCAGCTCACTCAGGCCTTTAGTCCAGTTCAAGTGTGTGCAGTGCTGTTGGTGTTTTCCAGGTCATATTTCTAAGCCTTTGCTTTTAATCTATTCTAAATTCAAGGATTCAAGGTCTTTTATTGGTCACGAACATAGTTATACACGGTGTGTTGCGTACCTGTTCCACATCGAAACAATAATAACAAGATGAATAAGAATAAAGAATAAAACACACAAGAAATAATTATATATATGTATAGAGAGAGAGAGAGAGAGAGAGAGAGAGAGAGAGAGAGAGAGAAACAGAGAAACAGCAGAAATAAATAAATCAAATTGTCAAGCATGTGCAAAAGGTAATAGAATAAATAAATAAAATAATAATAAGATTATACACATGTATATATACAAGGTGGAAAAGTGCAAAGTAACCTGTTGGATTGTTTATTGAGTTTTGAGCGGACAGCCTGAAGGAAGAAGCTCCACCTCATCCTCTCGGTAGTAAATCACTGAAACAACATATTTGGAAATCAAACAGTTAGATGTTGCTGTATCTGCATCGGTTATTAATTTAAAGAATGACCAGTTAGGGGATTGTTGTGTGGCGGTGTTCTGGTGGATACGCTGCCACTAGGAGGCAGCGTCGTGCCATCTGTTCCCTCTGATGACTGCTGACTTATCAAAGAAAGTATTAACATATCACCATAAATATGCATCTTCCTCACCTTTCTAACTTTGACTCAAAAAAGGAATAAATCTCTCAGACTGATGTTCTGTCACCTCACACGTTTGTTGTCTTTACATCTTCCGTCACTAGTTCGGCCAATGCGACTCCTGAGTTTGAGGGCAGAGGAGGAGAGGGTCTGGGGACGGAGCTGAGCAACACCCTCTACAAAGTGTTCAACAACAAGCACAGCGTGGATCTGAAGAGCCTCAGTATATGCGCTGGAGAGCACTGCTGGGTGCTCTACGTGGATGTGCTGGTGAGTGCCGATGTCCAGTACCTCTCTCGCTTTATTTACGAAAGAACATTCATTTAATTTATCGTATTTAAAACCTTAAAGAACACACTGAGGGACGAGATTTGTTTTTAATGGCGCTGATAGAATAAATGCAAATACTCAAATAAAAGAAGAATGTGTGGCTACGTCTGCTGAAGAGTGTTGGAATTAACAAATAAATATATTGAAGAACAAGCCTGTGCCTTCGAGGAACGGCTGTCAGAAAGTGTGCGCTGTTATTTTCCAGGACTCCACCCTCTGAATGTGTCCAGAAAAGACCTTTTCCTTCAGAAAAACGCAACTAGTCTACTAATTAGAAAGACAACCAGCAATTATTTTGATTATCAATTAATTTTGAAAAATTCTCTGGTTCCAGCTCAACAAAGATTCCACTTTTCTTTTGATAGTAAATTTAGAATGTGTTTGGATTTTGTGCTGTTTGTTGGACAAAACGACACACTTCAGGGCTTTGGGGAGTTATATGGTGTATTCTCTGAGCTGTATTCACTGAACAATTAGATTAATTAGTGACTGTCCATCATGTAGAATTCACCAAAACATGTATTTCTTCTCATTATTTTGGTTGCTGTACATGATCATCTGTCTGAAAACAGCCTGAAGCCGTTCAGCTCCTGAACAGAGCCTTTATGTGTGTGAGACGTGGAATAAATCCAAAGTGAAAATGATGTTTCCACAGCTCCTGCAGTGTGATGGAAACTTGTACGATGCCATCTCAGTAGCTATCAAGGCAGCTCTCTTCAACACAAAGTGAGTATTTGTTTGGTCTGTATGACTGGATTGTCTGATGCTGTAACCTCTCGCAGCTGTCACATCGACTGAACGGGTTTATTTCTGAGGCTTACAGACGGTTCTGGGTTTTCCTCGTTGACAGGATTCCCAGAGTTCACATATCAACGGATGAAGAAGGAGGAAAGGAGATCGAGCTGTCTGACGACCCGTACGACTGCATGAGACTCAACGTGGAGAACGTTCCCTGTATAGTGACGCTGTGCAAGGTACGCTCACCTGCTGTGTTCAAGAGAGACCAGGCTGCAGGTGGATCAGTGGTTAGCACCGTCGCCTCGCAGCTAGAAGGTTGCCGGTTGGCGTCCCGGTGAGGACACCCGGGATCTTTCTGCGTGGAGTCTCCATGTTCTCCCCGTGCAGCGTGGGTTCTCTCCGGGTTCTCCGGCTTAGTCCAGAAACATGCTGAGGTTAATTGGTGATTCTAAATTGTCCGTAGGTGTGAATGTGAGTGTGCTTGGTTGTCTGTCTCTAAGTGTAGCCCTGTGATAGACTGGTTACCTGTCCAGGTGAACCTGCCTTCACCCTGAGTCAGCTGGGATAGACTCCAGCCTCCCATGACCCTAGTGAGGATCAAGGTGTAGAGATTATGGATGGATGCACACATAAGCCGACTGTCTTTGTGCAGGTGGGCCACAGGCACGTGGTGGACGCGACTCTGCAGGAGAAGGCCTGCTCCGTAGCGAGCCTCATCATCTCCGTCACACACAAGGGCACCGTCACCTGCACCAGGAAGGTGGGTGGAGGCAGCCTGGACCCAGAGAGCATCTTCGAAATGACAGAGGTGAGTGCGGTCCTCCTCCTCAGCCATCTGGCCTCCTGTCACCACAGCTGAGGAATCAACACGGCCCGATGTTTATTTTATTTTTACTTACCTGTTGTCTTGGATTTTTAAAAAAAAACAGCAACAACTGACCTTGAGCTAGTCTCACCTGAATAAATTGGCCGTTTTCCATATATAACACCTCGTGCTGTGCTTTTCCCTTTGAGTTGTGGATTCTTAAAGTTTTTTATTTTGGGAAACAGGTTGATTTGTTCTTGAACAGATTGGTATTATTCCCCTAAATATGAAGCCAGCAACCCATTAGCTTAGCTTAGCACAAATACTGCTAAACAGCTAGCCTGGCTCAGTCCAACAGTAACACAATCAAACAAACCACAGCCTCTAAAGCTCACTAATTAGTGCCTTATATCTTGTATATCTGTCAACCTTCAGACTGTCACACAACTCGCCCGTTACCACCACAATCTGTCATTTTCACACTTCGGTTTTCGAATCAAAAAACAAAAGATGTAATGTGTGAATTAATGAGATTTAGAAGCACTGTTACCTTTAGACGGCTTGTGCAGCTTTTACTAGCATGTGTGCTAAGCTAAGCTAAGCTAACTAGCAGCAGTAGTTTCATATACACCACATACAGAAAACACAAGAGCGTTGTTGATCTTCTCCTCTAACGCCACCATGAGCCAATAACCTGCCCCCCTTTTACTGTTTAAAGCTATAATAAACACTCTACATATAAAAAACAACTTCAGGTCACAGTACACAGCTCAGCCCGTGCATTTAGTCGTTTCTATCATTAAGTTCTGCCACCCTGCACAGCTTTCCTATTAAACACAGCACAGAAGCACGTCTTTTAAAATGCATGTAGTCACTGTAAATAGCAGGTAAGCTACATTTCTAATCCTGTACCTTACAACAAACACAAGGTGCCGTGGTTTTTCTTTATCTAAATGTGGGTTTTGAGCGTGATTACATGTGTACATGGCAGACAGACGCTGCAGCGTGTTTTTTTGTCTGCAGGCAGGTAAACGGGTCGGCAAAGCCCTTCACGCTCCGCTCATGAAGCTGCTGCAGCAGGAGGAGCGTCTGGGGAAGAAGAAACAGAAGGTCGGCTTCCTCGGCTGAAATCAGCTTTCTGCGCTTTGTATTTACATGTAAACAGAATTTTCTAATAAAATGTTGGATTTGTACAGTCTGCGGGTCTTTGTGCTTTAACATTGTGCTGCTTTGTTGTTTTTTGACCCCAATCTGATGCGAGTGTCCCAGCTGTTATTACTCAGCAACTAATGATTATTTTTAATCTGCAGGTTGGTTTCTATATTATCCGTTATCTGGCCAATAAAATGTTAGAAAATGTCTCTTACAACAAAATGTGGATGTTTAGAAACGTGTGTTTTGCTCAAATCGAACTTTATTCAACTTATTATCACAATAAACTAAGAAAACGTGCAACTTTTGAGCAGCTGCTAATCAGTAATTTGGTATTTTCGCTTAAAAATGTCTTAACTACAAAATGTTTATAGCAAATGTTTGACTAGTGTGATTTCCATCAATGTTCAAGATTAACTTTATCGTCACAGGAGTGGGAAATTTGTCTTGTGCTATTTCACCAACACAAGTAGTTAATAGATAGAATAAATAAATACATCAAGGAAAAGCAGAATAAAGTGAATATCATAGTCTAATTTCAGGAGATACGGCACGTGGCAAAAAAACAAAACAAAAAACAACTTCATAATTAGCCTCATTAAAGCCGGAACAAATGAATTTTTAAACCTGTTCATGTTCCAGAGTTGGAGGTAACCCTGCAGATGGTTTTTCATTACTATTTAATATATTTTAAGATGCCTCAATAAGGGCTGCATGTGTCTCGGTGGTTAGCACCGTCACCTCACAGCTAAAAGGTCGGCGGTTGGCGTCCCGGTGAGGACACCCGCGATCTTTCTGCGTGGAGTCTCCATGTTCTCCCCGTGCAGCGTGGGTTCTCTCTGGGTTCTCCGGCTTCCTCCCACAGTCCACAAACATGCTGAGGTTAATTGGTGATTCTAAATTGTCCGTAGGTGTGAATGTGAGTGTGCTTGGTTGTCTGTCTCTAAGTGTAGCCCTGTGATAGACTGGTTACCTGTCCTGGTGAACCTGCCTTCACCATGAGTCAGCTGGGATAGACTCCGCCCCCCACCACCCTAGTGAGGACTAAGGTGTAGAGATGATGATGGATGATGTCTCAATGCAATAATCTCACAGAATCTGTTCATCACAATACAAGACCATTAGGTCTACTTATGGTAAGTTTGTGCTTTTGTGGACACCCTACAAGTTTTCTTACTTCTACCCTGCAATCTTCTACAACTTCGTGTATGCAGGTGTTTTTGTTCCAAACTCATCATATTCTTTCAACAGAAACAGATGCAATCACCAGTGCCTTCCCAGGTCTGCATCACAGCAGCTCTGCTCGGGAGCAGTCCGGCCTCTCTGCGTCCTTTTGTGTTTGCCACGTGTCAGCTGAGGCTTGTGTAAAGTGCAAGACTTACAGAAAGACCAGATGCGACTCTGGATCGTGTCCACACTTTCCTCAGACCGGTGCAGGGCGTGTGCTCAGCTCCAAAACAAACTCTCTCAGTGCACAGATTGAAGCTAAAAAACTGGATCTATTGAGGGACAACGGTGCAGAGTTTTACCTCTACTACCGCCCAAAACACCTGGAAATACTCAGGTTCTTCCAAATGAGAGCAGAGCTCGAGATATTTTGGAAAACTTTTAGGAAAGAAGGAATAGGCTGTTGAGCCCAGAAATAAACTTTAACTAAGGTATTTAGGCTTTTATGCAACAAAAGAGTCTGTGTTTGTTCCCTTTTCATGCACTTTATGTTATGTCATAGCTGCTTCACCCCGTCTGAGAGCCTCGACCTGCTTTCCAGGCCTGGCTCTGGTCGACCTCCAGAGTCTGGAGCCAGATGAGACGAGCGCACATGTCATCCTAAGAGGTCGGACTGTTTGTCCTGCAAACAGCAGCGCTAGACTTCAGTACTTTTCCCTGCACAGAAAGATGAGAGAGAGGGTGTGTCGGGGATAAACAGAGAAAGAGGGAGTGTGTGAGGGAGGCAGATAAATTGCGAGCTTCCACGTTGGAGCACTGAACAGGTCGAAGCATGGAGCTCAGAGGAGTGTGTGTGCTGCTGGGAGTGCTGCTGCTCATCAGCTGCTCGGTCCAGCAGAACCCAGTGAAGAGGAAACCGGTGAAGAAAGGTACGATGGACGACATGATGCACGACAGACCACCTGTAGGAGGAATGATAGAGTATTATCACTGTTTTTGCCCTCAATTGCTTTAATGAGTCGTTTGTTCAAGCAAGACAGGATTCAAACATTCTTTAGCTGTTTGCACAAATTCCCTTTTTTTAAAAACTTCTCTTGTGTGTGCCATCAGAAGCAACAAAGGATGCTGCCATCGAGGATCTACAGAAACAAATCAACGACATCGTCCAGGAGCTCAATCTGCTGAAGGAGCAGCAGGCCCTGCAAACAGGTAAAGCCCAAAGTTTAACGAGCTGCAAAACACCTGAACGAGTTACACTTAACTTAGCTTTAAGAAATGCTCTGTTTTCAGAAAAGTGCCCTAAAACCAGAGGCACACTTGAATTTGTTCTGTGGCACTTACCTAGATTGTCTTCTCCTGACTAGATCCTTGATTGTGTTGTGTCTGCTCTCAGATGTACGTCGCTTTGGATAAAAGCATCTGCCAAATGAAATTGTAGAATTGTAGAAGTATCTTGCTTCTCCAACCTACAAAACTCTTGTGTATAATATCAGTTTTTGCATGTTTTTAGAGGAATTTCCAATATTAAAATACAACATCAATCAAAGGAGGTCCTGGATTACCAACTGGTTTTGTTTCCCTACCTTACAGTTGGAGCATTCGATCTAATATTTTAGTTAATTAGCCATGTCCCAATCCTATAAAGTATTCTACAAACTGCCATTAAACATCGTTAGTCGTCAGTACATAGAGATATCAACATGCTCAACGGGATTTAAAATGTTTGGCTGCTATTACACCAAAATCTACACTGTAGAGTAAGTGAGCTGTGGTTTTAATATGCATCCAGTGTGTTTTATTTGTTTGTTTTGTTCCAGTGTTAGTATATCTGAGACACTGAAATGCAGAAAATCTGGAGCCAATCAATCATTAGGCTGTCAGTAGAGGCCCGAAAGGCTGAGATTAGCGATATTTAAACCCTTATGAATGTGCTCAACTCATTCAAAACCTTCTCTGTGATCGTAAAGAGGAAGAAGGCATCAGTATAAAAACAAACATCAGTTCTGATTTTACTTCCGTCGGCTGTGGATCAGAGATGAAAACATGTTCAAACAGGAGTCATTAGTCTCTGGCATGCTGTTCAAAATACGAACATGTGTCGTCTTTGAAACTGGATGTGCTGATCTGGAGAGCACATGGCCGACCTGCATTTGACTTGTTGTTCGGAACACAAAATCAGGTCCAGTTGTACCTAAAGTCCTCACCACAGACACAGACCCCACATACTTGGATGATTTCTAGGAGGAAACCGTCCAGTTTCTAACCATCTCCTCCGTCTATTTTCTCCTCCAGTCTGCTTAAAGGGCATAAAGATCCACAGCAAGTGTTTCATGGCTGACCCTCTCAAGAAACGCTACCACACGGCCAGCGAGGACTGCAACTCGATGGGCGGAGTCCTCGCCGTGCCCACGTCCAGCAACGAGAACGACCAGCTCAGAGACTACATCCGCCAGATCATCGGCCCGGACGAGCAGATCTGGCTAGGCATCAACGACATGATGACGGAGAGCACCTGGGTGGACTGGACCGGCTCCAGCGTCGCGTACAAAAACTGGGACACGTCCAACTACCGGTCCCCCCAGCCGGACGGCGGCATGTCCCAGAACTGCGCCGTCCTGTCCGGGGCCGCCAGAGGGAAGTGGTTGGACGAGAACTGCCGTGAGGAGAAGGCCTCGGTCTGCCAGTTCAACATCGTGTGATTGGCCTCGGCATGGACTCTGGTTCCAGCTGCTTTTTGTGTGTACTCCTGCTGCTACGCCTGCTACGCTAACGGGAGTTTAAGCCAGTGGTTCACGACTGGTTTTGCATCGAGTCCAGAGTCGGATCTAGAAGTTTCACTCAGTTGCATAAGAAGTGTTTATTTTTGACAAAAATGATCTGCTGGTGTATCATTTGCAGCATTCCTTGTGGCCACAATAAAACCATGAAGAACACAGTATAGTCTAGAATAAGTGAGATTGTGGGACGATCCAAAGAAATCACAGACTTCAGACATTTTATAGGGGTTTTTTTTGTGTAAATTTTCTCTTTAAACCTAATTTCCAATCATCCTTAAACCCTATATTTGAGTGTTCGTCCATGAAACCGACAGTATTCCTGTGATGAGGCTGTGTGTTGGTGCTGGCACCGTTCACAAACTTTCCATTATTTCCACACTTCCGTCACAGCAGCTCCACTGGTTGGGAACCACTGGTTTAAACTTCACAGCTGCCGTATTTTACACGACTCACATGAAGCCAGAACCGTGACTGATACTGCTTTAACAACAATCTTCAGTTATGCCACTTTGCTAATTTTGTAGCCTCCTATAATGTCTAGCCCCATCTATAATCAATAAAATATGAATACCCATTCCTCTGCTGTCGTTTATTAAAGGAAATAATCTTCTTTCCTCTGTTAAGACGACTGATGTCACTCTCATGATCCAGGCTGGTTTTACACTTTCCATGATGGCCACCTTCCCTGAGCTGCTCCTTCCTGTTGAAAGACGAGTTATTTCTTTAAACCGTTACCAAAAGAAATCTTTCGGATGTTTCTCTCGGTTATAGAATGTGCAGATTTCTTCACCTTGCTATGTAAAGTGCCCTGAGATGACTCACGTTGGGAATTGGCACATATATATTCATAAAACTGAGTTGAACCGATTAGCTAGCTTAGTTCAAATCCTCTCTGAAGCTCACTAATTAATACCTCTTGTTATGTTGGTGTAATCGGTACAAAAAAACAAAGTGTGAACTCTAAAAACAAATCATTTCATAGCAGATAACATAAGGGCCTTCGCCAGTCGCCTGCCAGAACGACCTCTAACGACATTAAAGGTGAACTCCAAGGTCAAGGTCCATCAGGGTCAGATCCCACCATCCGTCGCTGTTTGAGCCAAAGTGGACTTCATGGGAGACGACCAAGGAGGACACCACTGTTGAAAACAAATCATAAAAAAGCCAGACTGGAATTCCCAAACTGCATATTGACAAGCCACAAAGCTTCTGGGAGAACGTCCTCTGGACAGACGAGACCAAACTGGAACTCCTTGGCACATCAGCTCTATGTTCACAGACGCTCACATGAAGCATATGAAGAACAGAACACTGTCCCTACTGTGGAACATGGAGGAGGTTCTGTTATGTTCTGGGGCTGCTTTGCTGCATCTGGCACAAGGTGTCTTGAATCTGTGCAGGGTCCAATGAAGTCTCAAGACTATCAAGGTATTCTAGAGAGAAATGTGCTGCCCAGTGTCAAGAAGCTTGGTCTCAGTCGCAGGTCATGGGTCCTCCAACAGGATCATGACCCAAAACACACACAGCTAGAAACAGCCAAGAATGGCTCAGAGGAAAACACTGGACTGTTCTGAAGTGGCCTTCTATGAGCCCTGATCTAGATCCTATTGAACATCTGTGGAAGGAGCTGGAACATGGCATCTGGAGAAGGCAGTCTTCAAACCTGAGACAACTGGAGCAGTCTGCTCATGAGGAGTGGACCAGAACACCTGCTGAGAGGTGCAGAAGTCTCACTGACAGCTACAGAAACCGTCCAATTGCAGTGATCGCCTCAAAAGGTTGAGCAACAACAAGTTAAGGGTACCATCATTTTAGTCCAGGCCTGTTTCATGAGTTTATTTTTTAAAAACAATTCTGCTGAACCACGGTTCAAAAGCAACATCTGGTTTTCATTGGTTAATTTTCACAGAATTTTTATTTATTATTACTTTTGTAAGACTCAAGTTATTTCTGTGACCGTTGTGGGTTTTTCTTTCATCAACTGAGGGGTACCAAGTATTTAGTCCATGTGTGTAAATATTATGTTAATATGTCATCTTCTTATGGCACTGCCAGACATTTTAGACTGAGCCAAGTTGCCGTTTTTTTTCCCAATTTCCAGCCTTTAAGCTAAGCTAAGCTAAGTGGCTGCTGACAGTTACTTAATATTTACCACACAGGGAGTACATTTACTCTAGTATTCCACCTACGTACACTTTGAAGTTCTTTACTTGAGGATTTTTATTTTACTCTATACTTCCACTTTACTACATTTCAGAGGGAGATACTGAACGTTTTACTACATTTATTTGACAGATTTAGTTTTTCTTTTTTGGCTTTTGACAAAAATTAGAGGAAAAAGTTCAAAAACTGTAAACGGATCTTCTGGTGCTGTTTTTCTTCTTTCCTCTCTCATTGATCATCTGACAGCCCCTCAGATTTATCTGTCTGTATATAAAAGTAAAGTAGTTCAAACCAGCTGCAGCAGCTACAACAGGAACCTGCTGATGCTTCACCATCAATAATCTGATGATGGAAGGCATCAATCAGCAGGACAAAACTAGTACTTTTACTTGAATACTTTAACGATATTTGGTTGCAAAACTTATGTGTGTTCACTTCAGTAGGATTTGTCATGTCATAGTATTTTTACATGCATCAGTCTTGCCATCTAACTTTCAGACAGATAGTAAATCAGTGTATTTCCCAAACTGTTGAACACTGTTTCCCCACCTCAGAATAAATGCAGACTTGAGAGAGAACTGTGTAAACCTGGCCCGTGCATTTGTTGCTTCCAGTAAAGCACGCTTGTCCTCACGGTAAACACCGGCTGCCTCTCTGAAGTCTGCACGTCTTCCACACCCTCATTCTGCTGTTTTTCATGGCCGGCGTTCCTGTGGTTTAAATTGTTTTCACCGCCCAGAATGCAGAAAGGTCGGTGTCGGTAAGCACATGAGGGGAAATTAAATGTCACGGCTCTAAGTGTGTGATGGCAGTTACCTCAAGGAGCAAACTGTTTTCCCACCAAACCACTTCCTCGAATTTATTGCAAAAAGAAAAAAAACTAAATTATATTTACAGGTAAAAGAAGAAAAAAAAACATCTTAAAAAAGACTAGCAAAAATTATAAAAACACTTAAAAAAGAACAGAGGGCACTTGCATGATTTCTGCTCATGAATCGATGCCACACAGGCAACATTAATCAAACATTGAAGAAATAGTTCTGTGTTTTTGTTGCTTTCTTGCCGTTAGACGAGTAGATCAACGCCACGTTCACCTTCGTACAGGCAGAATCCAGTTAGCTTAACTTAGCAGAGGGGAAAGCTAGCTAAAACCCAACAACCAGCACCTCTAAAGCTAACACGCTAGCATCGCATATCTCATTTGTTTCATCCATAAGAAGCCAAAGTTAAGGTTTCACAGGACATGATGTGCAGGAACATTTCTTGGCCAGAAGCAGTGATTTCTTCGAGAGTCTCCACAAAGTCACTAAATCACATTTCACAGGTTAACTGGTGCTTTAGAGGAACTGGTAGGAGGGTTTCTTTGTCTTGTAGCCAAGATGAACCAACTAGCTGCTTACGGTAGTTTCATATTTACTGCAGAAGACACGAGAGCAGCATCGCTCTTCTCATCCAACTCTAGCAGAAAGCAAATGTTCCCTAAACTACTCCTTTAAGGACAAGGCTCAGCACTTTTACTCTTGGATTTCTGCAAAGACGCGTTGAAAAGTAAACCGATCTTAGATTCCCTGAGTGTGTTCGAGGCACAGACGTACCGTCGACGGATACTCGGTGCTGTAACATGGACTCAGTAACATCAGTTTATCACACAGACACGGTCCGAACACTCTATAAGGACTCCTCCATTATCGGCGGCTCCGGTTCCAAATCAACCCCGGACAGCCGGATCGTGTTTATGTCCCCTGTGCTCTTGAACGTGTACAGCTCGTTGTCCACCATCCTGCGGTCCTGGAAGCCGAGGCTGTCCTGCCGGTCGATGGGAGTGCGCGGACGGGACGGGATGAAAGTCTCGGAGGGCTTCAGAAACGTGTTGTACTGATCCATCTCGGGCTCCGGGTCTGGTTCTTTGACCACAGGCAGCCCCCCGTCGGGCGGTCCCGTGAAGGTGTTATAGGAGTCGCCCAGCAGGTGGCCGTACACCATCGTGTCGTCTATGGAGTCGTAGACGTGGGACTCGTTGTCGGATCGGGTTTTACTGAAGTGCCTGTCGCCCGGGCGGAAGATGTTCCCTTTGCTGATGTAGATGGACGACTCCGTGTTCATCTTTTGTGTTTTCTTTTTCCTGTTTGAAAAGACAGATCACAAACGGTAAGGAGGAGTCGACAAACAAACAGAACAACTAATGTTGTAATGATCCAATCTGAACAGAACCAGGGCCCGTATTCACCAAACATAAATCATAAAGTTCTACACCTCGTTAAGGATAGAAGAAAGTTAAATGATTACGATTTATGATGGACTGACCCATTTAAAAGCCAGCACAGGGCTAAACAAGTCCTTCACTTATAGTAAAGAAGATTTGCTCTCGTAGACTAATGGTAGCAACCGGACTTGCTTGAGTTCCTTGAAGACGTTCCACCTCCTGGGGAGACCAATATGACTGAAGGTGAACATCAAGGAACTCCAGCAAGTCCAGTTGCTACCATTAATCTACGAGAACAACCATGACCTGAAGAACTGAGAATCTTCACAGACAAGACCTATTAGTGAAGTGATTGATTTACAGAACAGACATAAGAATAAGTTTAAGTCATCATTTAATCTCAAGAGACGTATCAGAGCAGGAACAGCCCATCAAGGATTTATGGTATCTTCTAAACAAGTCAATTCTCTATCTTGACTCCTCAGCAACGTCTTCTATCTCTCGCTGAGGCTGCATAATGTCCTCACAAATTACAAAGAAACAGACTCTGAGGGATCTTCCAGTCCCGGTGCAATCACGCACTCGACTGATTGGAGATGAAAAGTGCTCCAGCTTTATTCACAGAGCTGAGAGACGCATTAGTTTTCAAGCAGCCAAACATCCTGTCAAATGTGTGTTTGAGATAACAGATTACAGTCCCACACAGTGGACCAAAGTAGTCCAGTGAAGTAGAGTGTAAAATAATAGCCATTAAACACAGACGCTATTGAATCTGTTATTTAAATTTTTAACTGTAACTCAACCCAACCTGATGCAGCAGATCCAGCACAGTGTCCACACTCAGCAAACCTTCTCACTCAAAGTCGTATTATAAATACAGTCTGGTCTCAGCACTGGGAACTCAAAGGTGTTCAGAGTTCTGCTACGGTTCTACTTGCCTTGTGACACAACATACGATACCCAGCACCGCGAGTGCCAGCACAACAGCTCCTGTGATCCCGAGGACGATGGCCAAGAGGTCTGTGGAGAGAAGAATCAGACGGTTAAATCTTGGTTCATGGATATGCAACAGGAATGGTTTAAAGCAGGGATCTCCAGCTCCAGTCCTAATGAGCTGCTGTCCTGCAGGTTTTAGATGTTACTGTAACACACCTGCCTCCCATTAATGGATCATTATCAGACTTGTGTAGAACTTGACAACAAGCTGCTGGAGATCCATTAATGTGAGTCAGGTGTGCTGCAGTAACGTCTAAAACCTGCAGGACAGTAGCTCATGAGGACCGGAGTTGGAGATCCCTGGTCTAGAGAGATGTTTGCTTACTGGTCTTCTTCTCCAGACCGACTTTGAACAGCGCACTAAACTGCCCGTCCTCGGGGATGCAGTTGGACATGTTGACGTAGAAACTCCGCGGCACCACCAGCTTGTCCTCGGCCTCCTCGTCCTCCCGCCGGCTCATCATCTCCTCCTCCGAATCCAGCGTCTTCACCGTGATGGCGGTGTGTCTTTTCTTGCACTTGGGCTGGCTGACGTTGACGAAGTGGAGGTGCGCTTGGTACTGGCTGGGCACGGTGACGATCCAGGACACGGTGGTGGGGGGCTTCATGCCCCGGGGCCAGCCGGGGGTGGCCAGCAGGGCCGGGGACGCCACCTTGGGGGCGACTCTGTAAATAATGGTCTCTGAAAAGAGACGGAAACAACGCTGAGAGTCACAACAGTCTCCTGTGTGGGGATTAGAAAGTCTGTATGGTACAACAGCGCCCCTGTGTGGAGGTTTAAGGTAAAGCGGCAGCAGTTTATTCTCACTGCTGATTAATCTGCTCATTAGTTCCTTGATTGGGTGATTAATCACTTCATTCAAATATATTGTCCTGCAGCCCAAAGTGATTCTTCAAATCCTAAAGGAGTGGATGAACAATCACAGAAGACACATTTTAGCTGATAAATCCAGTTACATCTTAGAAATACTCAAACATTTAGTGGTTTAATAAAGTTATTCACGTTACACCGAACACTGACTCGTGATATCAGCTCCTCCTCTTTACATGGCTGAACATCATCACTCTGGATTGTTATTTTAGTGCAGTCGTCCTCATTTCTCTCATTCACTGTGAGTTTCCTGGTTCTGATTCCCAACATTACCTACAATGACTACAATGCCCACAAACAGCCAGAGAGCAAGTCTGAACCTGTTGTGTTCAGCTGCTGATGAAACGCAGGGAGAGACTGTCACAGTTCGACTGACTAAAGTCAAAACTATTCAGCTCCACTTCTGTCTGTTCTTCTACCTTCATTCATGTCACTTCATTGGACCGTGTTCTTTAAAATAAACTGACTTCTTGTCTACAGCATCGTATTGGCCTTTTAACAGGCAGCAGATACAGATCTTAATCCCAATCTTTTATAATAATACAGTAGGGTCTTAACGTAAACATTTAAACTGGTTTAATCTTATCTGGGTCGACATCTGCTGGTTTTACTGTGACTCGACTCGGCTTTATTTGTTGATTATGAGCAGTAATTGCAGATCAATAAAGGTGTCACCGTTGACTCTAATGACGGTTCTGAAGTCCAGCGTAGAGACTCGTAATATAACCTAAATAACCTAAATTAGGGCTGCAAGGTGGCGCAGTTGGTAGCACTGTTGCCTCGCAGCAAGAAGGTTGCCGGTTCGCGTCCCGGTGGGGGCACCGGAATCTTTCTGCGTGGAGTTTGCATGTTCTCCCTGTGCAGCGTGGGTTCTCTCCGGGTTCTGCGGCTTCCTCCCACACAGTCCAAAAACATGTTGAGGTTAATTGGCGATTCTAAATTGTCCGTAGGTGTGAATGTGAGTGTGCTTGGTTGTCTGTCTCTAAGTGTGGCCCTGCGATAGACTGGCGACCTGTCCAGGGTGTCCCCTGCCTTCGCCCTAAGTCGGCTGGGATAGGCTCCAGCCCCCCGCGACCCTAGTGAGGATTAAGTGGTGTATAGAAAATGGATGGATAACCTAAATTAGAAGTCTAGCTGCTTTTCACTGAAGCTCCCAGGATTACCGAGACCTGGATGCCTGATAATCTACAGACCAGCTCTTCTTTAGTTCGTTCAAATCGATGAAATAGTTTGTCAGAACTCCTGAATGTTCATTAAAGCCATTAAAATGGACAACAGCTGGAATGATTTGTTAAAAAATGCACTGTTGTAGTCATTTTTCATTCCAAAAGATCTCAGATTTGAGCTTTTCAGGTGTGAGGATTTGCTGCTTTTCTACATCATATATGATGGAAAAGTGGATATTTCTGAGTTTTGGTCAGAATCTAAAGATGCCACTTTGGGAAACACTTGACTAAATCCTGAGAATGCATTTAATCCCTACTGAGCAAATCAATAAACAGTCGTTTAAGAAAGATCCAGAGTTGGTCTCGCTTTACCTCTGATTTCCTGACTGGCGTTGACGCTGAGAAAAGGCCCCCTGGTCCTGTTGAAGTCTTTGACCGCCACCGTGACGGAGATGTTGGTGTGCACCTGGACCTTCTGGATGTCGCCGTTGTAGCAGAAGTCTCCGACAGAAGAGCCGTCGCTCTCGGCCACGTGCAGCAAGACGGAGTGGTTGCACTTCTGGCCCGGCAGGGACTGTTTCAGGCTCCCGGTGGGCGACACCAGGTCCAGCGTCCTGTCGTTGGGGATGTTGAGGCGCCAGGTGAAGCTGTGCAGCGGCATCGGCAGGCAGGAGTCCAGTTTGGGAATGGTGAGCTTAGTGGCAGTGCACGATGCATCCTGACACTCTGGTGGTGAGACGGAGAATAACAGCGAACGAGCCACTTCTCTGTCAACCAGGTACCGTTGACCACTTTGTGGAAACACTGAATTCATAAAAAATCTGCAAAATGAAACAAACATCTTACCAATAACTTTGCTGGCAGTCAGACGGACGTCCTCGTTCGGACAGTCGAGGAAGGACAGACGGGCCGTGGTGCCTGCAGCCACGAATATCTTCCTTGTGACCTTGGAGTCGACGCTCATCTCACAGTACGGGTCAGAACCGACCTTCTCGAGCTGCACGGAAACTCCTTTGTGTTTGGTGAGATCCACCGTACACAGAACTGACCGGGTAACATGACAGAGACAGACGATGTTTTAGTTAAGAGGAAGAAAACTCAAAGACTCTGCAGCTGCAGTTTGTGCCTCTACATTGAGGTCACGGGATGAAATTAAACTTTTTTCAAATTCTCAAAAACTTTTCATACAGAAAAATACAGAGAAACTACAGATATTTAACCCATTTCTTCATTTAATTCCAATTAAAGTCCCCAGAAAATGACAACACTCGTGTTTTATTTGTACAAAAACAAGTAGATTGTTATATTTTTTAATGCAGACTCATAAAATGTGGAAAAGCAAGGAAATAGTAGCTTCAGTAAATATATTTTTGTTGTGTGAGAGAGAGAATATTTTTCTCCAGATGGATTCTAGGGCTTCAGAGCCGCGACAGGTTTTGTTAAACTGCCTTCTGGATGCTTCAGAAATCATTTACTTTTCAGAAAATCAGTGTGAAATATGAGAGACACCGACTGGGGCTCAGATACAAACAAAATCTATATTTTACACGTAGGATTTTTAGTTATATTCACCAATATGAGACAAAATTACCGCAATGTCCGGACTATAAGCCGCTACTTCTTTCACATGCTTTGAACGCTGCGGCTTAAACAACGATGCGGCTAATTTATGGATTTTTCCGAATTTGAATCGAGACCAAAGTGACGCTGAGAGCGACGACAGAGAGACTGAGGAAGTGATGAAATTATTCTGAGGCTGTTCACCTCCTGAAGACACTGAAGAAGACGGCTTTAGTGGTTTCAGTGCAGGAGGAAGATGAAGATAGCGATCAGTCACTTTTCCTGGTAGGCTGCTGTAGTTTTATTTCCTTAATCAGCCGTGTTACAGGCGCTGTTCAGAAAAAGGCATCTATGGCTGCAGCTTATAGACAAGTGCAGCCTGAATATGTACACACCTGGTTTTCTTTTAAAGTTAGTGGGTGGGGCTTATATTCAGGTGCCTCAATAGTCCAGACATTACGGTACACATTAACTAAGATGTGCGCTTTAAGCATCTAGTCCAACTAAAACTGAAACATAAAGTATCCTGCAGAGGTCAAAGTAAGTCGACTTTCACTGCTGATGAACATTTGAATATGTTTGAGCTCCACTGTCTGTCTGAGTATCTTCACCTTAAATCAGATCATCTGCATGACCTGCTGACTTAAGTGTTTCCATAGTGTACCTGGATGGCCGCTCCTCATCACAGAGACCCGGTAGCTCAGGCGGAGTCCTTCCAGAGTCGTGTTGGTTTCACAGTTCTTCAGCACCATGTTGAAGTTTCCCTGCTGATGCTCCGGCTGAGGATCCGTCAGCGTCAGTTTGCTCACCTTCTTGTTGGGTTTCTGGTACTCCACCGTCACCTCGTTGCTGAGGCACTCGGGGGCCGCGTGGTCGCGAAAGCTCACGGTGTAGTTGTGCATGCCGGGCACCGTGAAGTTCCACTGCATCTGCTGCATGTCGGGGAAGTCTCTGGGGTAGTTGGCTGTGAGGAAGTCCGTGTCGGATACGCCTCGCGGCAGGTTGGCTTTCAGTATGGCCAACACTGGGAGGAAACAGGGAGAAGATACTGTGGTTAGAAACACCTGCATGTAGTTAAAGATGATTCTGATGATAATAATTCTGGTCTATAGGATGTTTTTTTTATATATATATCTTGGAAGGTATATCATGAGTGAAATAAGTAGCCAACACCACGGCTGAGCATTTCTACCGTGTAGCTGCAGCGCATCGACGTCTGAAAAACAGAAATTCTGATTTCTAGGGTGTCATCAGCAACAAACCCAAAAGAACCACACAGAGCAGGACTTTCAGAATCAGTTTCTGGTTCCAACATATGCAGCTGGATTATACCAGAACTTGTGGAGAGCACTATACAGTGTTTGAGCAGACTAGCAGGTGAGCCGGTGTGCTCGAGCGGCAGCGACTGTGGAGGGGTGGTCTGAGATAGAAGCAGGCAGCAGTGTTGAGCTGCATACGAGACGTTTTTAGGCAAAACAGAACTATTTTTATAGAAAGAACCTACAATTTATGCAACCTTGATCCACTGGTATCAGTTTATGGCGGTTAAGTCGACAACCGCAGATACAATAAAAGGTGCTTAACAGACATTACGTGATTATTTTGAAACCCTATTTACAACCCCCGTGTCAAGGAGGTGTTTTAATGATTAAACAAAACTGATAAGACTAAAACTAAACCAAAAGATGAGCCCAGTTCAGTTGGGATATTCTACATTCTCTGTGTTGTAACTGGACTTAGCCACGCTAGCAGAAATATTTCAGCAACTTTAAGGTGAATTCTGATTGAATCTTATGGAGACATTCATGTTCTCCAGAGGATGAAACCAAATGACTTCCCCTGACATACAGCGTCACCAATCAGGTCAAACTTTTAAGTTGTCTTCTTACTTTGGTTTAGGAGTTAATCTGTAGGGAAAACTTATGAAATTCCCCTCAGACTCAGCTGTACTTTGCATTTTGGGCTAGCTACTGAATGCAAACCTACGATGGTAAACATGGAGAATATATGGCAAGTGCTGGACAGATGCTAATATTGTCATTGGGAGTATATTAGCATGCTTTAGCTCAAAGTGCTGCTGTTGCTGGGTTTGCTATCTGCATACGTCACATGTAGGTCAGACCAAGTATCCCTAAAAACTTCAGACTTTCTTTAGTTTCTTCTCCACTTCACACAAACGTCCAGATTTGCTCTGACTCGTGTTTATCTTCTGGTTTGTGAAGAAAAGTGACTCATTATGTATAATGTCTGATGTATTCTAGTTTCACTTGTGAGATGAAGTGGAAATAAAGAACTAACTGACGTACTATTCGTCTCAGGTCCAACACTGAGTTTGAAGTCCACAGGGTCCAGTTTAGCGTCTCCAGGCACCCGCAGGACGACTCGGCCCTTGTACCGAGCCATGATGGTGCTCACAGTTCCTCCTTTGCAGAAGGTACCAATGGTGGCCGGCCCACTGCGCAGATAAATAACCAGAGAGTACGTGTGTTCATCCGGACACGTCTCCTCGTTGGGAATCTGTCGCATCCCCGGTTCTGGGAAGTCCAGCTGGAAAGCCCGAGTGGAGACGACTTTCAGATCCCAGGTGAAGGTCCTGTTGAAGTCCGGGAACAGCGAGGACTCAGGCTGGACGATGTTTCCAGAACAAGAGGTCTCTGTGCAGTCTGGAGACAGAAGAACATGAAGTAGATGGTGGTTTGGTTTCACGACGAGTTTCCTCAAAAACTTCACTGAGTTAAGACTGATTGTTCAGTCAGCTGTTATCAGGAAGTAATTAGCTGTAGGTGGGTACCATCCATCCATCATGTCTACACCTTAATCCTCACTAGGGTCATGGGGGGCTGGAGTCTATCCCAGCTGACTCAGGGTGAAGGCAGGTTCACCTGGACAGGTAACCAGTCTATCACAGGGCT